CCACCAGCCAAGTCCTTGTCAATCACACCCGGGATGTGGCAGGAGCCTTCTCCATGATGCTTCTGCCTCCAGATTCACCCACACTGATCCATCTGCTCATCAGAGCCTGACCCTGTCCCTTCTTCGAGCACCCCACCCCTAGAGGAATCCGCCTCAACCAGACATGTACCCCAGGAACCAAGATAGAGTAGGATGAACAAAGACTTTGCAGCCTGACGGTTCTGGGGTCAGATCCCAGCTCTGGCACTCATTAGCTGAGTCATCTTGGATAAATTACATAACCTCCCGAACCTCATTCTCCCTGTTGACGTGAGAGAGTTTGATGATAGATACCATGCAGAGTTCTAGGAGCTGGAAGTACATTCACACAAAGAGCTCAGCCCGATGCCAGGTGCTTGTAGGTATTTTCCCCCACCATGGCAAACACATAGTAGACACACCAGCGTACCCCGGCAGTAGCTTGGGACCCAGGCTGGGAATGGATCGGCAGTCACTCCCCTTTGCATATCTCCTCCAAGCCTGGGAAGTCAGGGAGGAGGGCTGATTTGCCCAACTAATAACAGAACACTCGGGTTTAAATCCAGGTCTGTCTCTCATCCGCAAAGGGGAGACGGAAATTCCAGCTGTGTGTGTCTATTGCACAGATTCATGGAAGGTGCCAGTGGCAGTAGGAGCTGCTCCATATCTGCCTAGTCTATTTAGGGAGCCAGGAGAGCTGAAGGTGACAGCAAGACCAAGAACTGAGCCGACCCCTCTGGCCCAGAGCAGCACTGTGGAGCTGAGCCATTTTAAGTAAGTCCTTTATAGACCCTTCATCTGATTCTTGGAAGCCCCACCCTCACTTGCACTTAAAATGCACCCACACCCCCTCATTAAATATAACTCTGCTTTGCTTTAAAGGGGTTTTTATAAATTTGCATTTGAGATTACTTGACTATGAATAACTCATTTACTATTGGCTATAATTTCTCTTTAATCATGTTGCATATTCTGGAACTCATGTCAAAAATCCAACTTACAAATTGTTTTCAAATATAATGGCACGTGACTTAACAGATATTAAAGTTGGCATGCTACTTTCTGAAGGCATTTCATTAAACATTTGTCAATTTCAAGTTTGATTTTTTTTCGTATTTTGCAGCCCTCAAAGTTTTTCTTTCAGCGCTCCCATGTTGCCCAGGGGGGCTTTGAGGGTCTGCCAGGAGAAGACAGGTATGGGCACAAAAAAGGCACTTGGATTGTCCCCATCTCTAGGCCTGCAGGCTGCCTGCTTCAGGTCCAGCTGCAGAGACCACCCACCCCAGTTGGTCCACGGCATCCTAATTTTGGCAATTGCACTCTCATTTTGAAAACAAAGTGATTCGTCAAACATTGGATTAAAAGTGAGTTGATGCGTGAACCTTTCTTGGAATCTCACTTGAAGACATTCGTAAGCGAGGCAATACTTTGAGTAAACGTTCTGATGTCGGGCTTAGAAATCCGGATTACTGTCACCCTAGGCCAAACACCTTTACCCCTGCCCTACCCCAGCCTGGGGGCCTAGATAGCTTCCCACTTGCTCCCCTCCACTCCCCCAGGAGTGGGCACAGAGAGGTACCCCCGTGCAGGGCATGTGAGATGTGGCCCTCATACTTCCCAGTCCGAAAGCTTTAGGGACGGATGAGGGACAGTCCCAGTGTCAGCTTCACTCAGGACAGGTCCCAAACACTGGAAGGAGGCGGGTTGGATCACCTGTTTCATTTACTCCCTCTGCCACCCACCATCCTCCCCGCTTCCCCCCATTCCGTGTAAGATCTGGCCCCTGACCAGAAAGAAGATGTGGGCTCCTTCACACACGAAGGCACACAGAGTAGGTTGAAAGGAGGGGCGGGGGGCCGAGTTCCAATAGAAGAGGGGAGGTGGCCAGTTGGCCTGGAAGGCAAGGAGATGACTTTTCCTCTCAGCTCACATCCTTTGATTCATTTCTATCAAGAACAGTAAAAAAAAAAAATTCTACCTTAGACCTGGTTATTTCACTCTGGGCATCCAGACTGAGGGAATATCTGGAGAGCTTTATGCAAAGATAATAATAGCTAATATTTACTGAGTTCTTCCTTAGTGCTTTCTACCTAGTGGCTGAATGAATCCAAAATCAACCTGTGAGAAAGTGCTATTATCCCCATGAAATGGGTGAGGACCTGGAGGCACAGAGAGGGGAAGTGACTTATGGAAGGTCACACAGCCTAAAGTGGTGAATCCAAAAGTCAAACCCAGAGTGCACAGTTGGTCACATCAGGGCCACAGTTATTCTTAACAGAGGAGAGCTGTGATTACAAACCATGGGAGGCTCAGCAGGGGGTGGTGCGCAGTAGTTCACGTTCATGTTTGCAGAGTATTTTAATGACATGTGGAAAGACTTATGTTAAAATAATTTTTAAAACAGGCTGGGGTCAGGCACAGTGGCTCACGCCTGTAATCCCAGCACACTGGGAAGCCAAGTTGGGTGGATTACCTGAGGTCAAGAGTTTGAGACCAGCCTGGCCAACATGATAAAACCCCATCTCTACTAAAAATACAAAAATTTAGCCAGCTGTGGTGATGTCATGTGCCTATAATTCCAGCTGCTTGGGAGGCTGACGCAGGAGAATAGGTGAACCTGGGAGGCGGAGGCAAAGGTTACAGTGAGCTGAGATTGCACCATTGCACTCCAGCCTGGGCAACAGAGTGAGACGCTGTCTCAGAAAAAAAAAAAAAAAAAAAAGCTGGGCACAATGGCTCACACCTGTAATCCCAGCACTTTGGGAGGCTGAGGTGGGTGGATCACCTGCAGTCAGGAGTTTGAAACCAGCCTGGCCAACATGGTGAAACCCTGTCTCTATTGAAAATACAAAAATCACCAGGTGAGGTGACACATGCCTGTAATTCCAGCTATTTGGGAGGCTGAGGCAGGAGAAACACTTGACCCGGGAGGTGGAGGTTGCAGTGAATCGAGATCATACCACCACGGCACTCCAGCCTGAGCAACAGAGCAAGATTCTGTCTCAAAAAAGAAAAACCTAACTATACATGTGATCTCAACTCAAAAATCCTATGTTAAAAAGAACAGAAAGGAACACATAAATATACATAAATATGTATTAAAATATCTACATAGATCTCAGGCATGCAGCAAATATTTGGTGAAACTGGTAGATTATGAGTGGGCTTTCTACTTCTTTCTGTTTTTCTGTATTTTCCAAAGTTTTAAATGAAAATGATTTTCTTTTCAGATAGGAAAAAGTATTAAAGCCTCACTGTTTTAAGATTATTTCTCTTGATAATATTTGAAAGAGAAATTCTGAGAAACTAAGAAACCAGAGGCAAGTTGTTTAAAAAATAAATTGTGGGTTGGGCGCAGTGGTTCACACCTGTAACCCCAGCGCTTTGGGGGATCACTTGAGCCCAGGAATTCAGGACCAGCCCGTGCAACATAGCGAAACCTTGTCTAGAGGTGGCACGTGCCTGTAGTCCCAGCTACTCATGAGGCCGGGGTGGGAGGGTGGGGATGCCTGAGCCCAGGAGTTCACTGCAGCCTGGACGACAGAGCAAGAGCTCGTTTCAAAAATAAACCATGGAGAGGCAGCTAAGAAACTTTAAATTAGTCATATTCTTAGGGCTAGGCTTCAGCACACACTAAGAAAAACAGGAGATAAGAAAATGAACTGAAGGATTATATTAAATGACAAATTCCACAAGTAAATATGGAGTCCTAAGTGCTGGAAGACGGGACAGGCAGTTCCTGCCTCCGAAAAACCTTCTAGAAAGATCTTCTATAAAGAACAGGGATCTGGGAGGAAAAAGAAAAAGATCTTCTAATCCTGCTTCCTTGTTAAAACAAAAATAAGACACAGCTCACTTGTGTTATTATTCACCTACTTGAAAAGTGAGTTCTCCTCACCCTTGGAAAGGGGGATCCTTGGGCAGCTGAGCCGAGCGTGGGTGGAGGCGCCCTGGACTCACCACCTCCCACCCTCACTGGGCTCCAGTGTTCAATTCTGCGACACGTAAGTGGTCAGAATGAATTGACAAGGGGTGTCCTCTGAATTGAAGGGCCTTGGGTCTTGACCAGGGCAGCCCGAGCGGGAGGGGGGGCTTGGCCACTGGGAAGTGGGGAGGGATGAAGAGAGCTTCTGCCCAGGCACCCGCTGGGATGCGCAGGGCCAGGGGCAGACCTGCTGGCTGAACGAGGCAAGGGCTGAGGAGAGCGGCTCACAGGAAGGGAGGAGAAGCCAGCAGCCTCCCAGCCTCCCCCTCCCGCTCGGGCTGCTCTGGCTCTGGGCAGGCCCTCAATTACACAAGCTCATGCAGTTCCGGGGCTAATCGTTTCTGAGGCGACCAGCCAGGGGAGGCAGCAGCAGGGGCAGTGACAGACTTCTCTCCGCCCACCCAGGACCCTGCACAGCGCAGAGCACATTCCACTCTCCTTCTTTACCCGGGCAACAGACTCCAGCAACCTCTGTGCCAGGGAGTTGCTCCAGAAATTGTGTATTACACATGGGACAGAAGCTGAGGTGGGAGGGGAGGCTGCAATCAGAATGCACCCGCCTGCTCCAACCCCTTGCAATAGAATCTGCCCCCAGAGTTTGCAGACGTCGGTGCCGCACCTTCTACTTCCTGAATCAGAATCTCTGAGACTAGGCCCTGGAGAGGGCCACCTAAACGAGACTCCCAGAAGGCCCTGGCCTCGGGTCTGCCTGTGGGTGCACATTCCCAGTCTTCCCCTCCACTGCTGGAAGAGGGGAGGGTACAGGGTGGGAAACAGACACCAGCACCCCAGCCGGTGTGACAGGGATGTGCTGCAGACCCGGGGCTGGATGAGGGTCGGTGGGCGTCTCTTCTTGCTCACAGCTTCATCAGTTTTCACGTGCACAACACACACGTCACCCAAGCCTAGCTCCTCCCCTCAGAATGCGCTGCACCTCCATCCACAGCCACCTCCCACCACGGCTCTCCCTCTCCCGACAGAAACCCCACCTGCCTCATTACTTAAATAATCTTTATTTCTCATGCACTAGGAAGGATGGATCATACGAAACACTGAAGTTCACAGCAAAGGCCTCAGTCCGGAACACAACACAGGGGCCAGCTGGGATCAGGATCTGGTCAAAGCTCTGGGAACCGCACTGGGAACACCGCTCCCAGGGCTGAGTGGCAGATCCAGGACCTTGCAGCGACCGTGGCCCCAGACAGAACACAAGGCAGCTGCCTTCTCCCACAGAGGCACGGGAAGCTGACACCAAGGAGCACATGGGCTGGGGACAGGACGGAGAGAAAGCTGCTGGGCAGTGACTTGGCGGAGATGTGGTCCAGCACCTCTGCCGCCTCCGTCTACCCACTCAGGCCAGGAAGCCCAGGGCTGTGACTGAGCTCTCAGCTCAGCTCTACCCAGTGCAAAGCTGCTGGAGCCCCATAGAGACCCTCAGCAGCCCCGGGCCCACAGCAGAGGTGTACAGGTCCCCTGCCTGCCCCTCGGCTACATAAAACAGGGGCCTAAACTTCAGCCCTGGCCAAAGCTTAGATTTGTCTAGGCAGGACATGAAAGGCTAGAGGGGCCGGCCCCCCACAACCATCCCAATCCCCCGTGGACACTGGAGAAGCCCATAGGACAGTCACACTTCTGAGGATCTCAGGGCAGGGCCACCAGCAGAGGAGGCCCTCAGTACCTGGGCAGTCAGGTGCTATCTGAGCCCAAACAACAATGAGCAGATTCCCAGGCTTTGCCTTCGATAGGTGGCCCAGCGACAGTGACATGGTCAGAGACATGCAAGAAAGAGACAGAGACAGAGAAGAATGGAGACATGCAGAGACCACACAGCATGGGAGGGGTCTGAGGACAGAACGTGGTCAAACTGCTGCGATGTGGTGGGCGCTGCAGGGGCCAGGCTCACTGAGGCCCCGGGCTAATGGCCACAGCCACCTCCTCTGGGATGGTCTCCAGCATCTCACTCTGGACTGCCTGTGTGATGAGCGCCAGCTCCTGGCACAGGGTCTCATAGCGGTAGCCCACGCGGATGTCTGGCACGTTGGTCCGGCGGATGTCGTTCCCCTCAGGACCTTCCTTGGTATAGTTGGGTCCCAGCCAGTGGCTCTTTACCTGTAGGACGCAGGGGTAATGGACAGGGCTACAGCCAGCGCTGAGGGGCTGTACCCCACCCCAAGCCACCCCAGAAACAGGTCAGGAGCCCAAATGCGGAGGAGAGGAGGAGAGCGGTCATGCCAAGGTCCAGGCAGGCGCTGTCTGTCGTACCTTGTGGGAGAAGCCGCTCATGAGCACGCTGTTGCGGGCCAGCTCACACATATCGCAGGAGCTGAGCTTCCACACCTGGGTGGCGATGCTGTACTCCTCCATCAGCGGCTCCTGCACGGGCCAGGTTCCCTCAGCCCAGCGCTTCCTGGCCCGCTGCCCCTGCCTGCCTCCCCCACCTCCAAAGGACTTGCCGATTGGCCTGCTATGCTCCACCAGCAGGGGGCAGCACCAACCCGGAGACCCCAGCGTCCCGGGACGGACGCGCGCCAGCTCGCCTGGCTGCCTGCTGGGCTCTGACCTTAGTGAAATGGAACTGTAGGGGATCATCAGTGGACAGGGAGACCATGAGGCCGCGGGACAGGTACTCCGGTAGCGGATTGCGGTGGTAGCTGAGGAAGAGGCTGTTGTTGCTGAGCGGGGACATGGCGATGCCTATCTGGGCCAGGTAGTACAGGTACTGCAGGACTGGGGCCTGGGCAGGCAACATGGAGGGAGGGCCTGTTAGGTAGCCTCAAGGCTGGGTAGGACACAGTGGTTCTGGGGGTCCAGGCCACACCGGAGGGTGGGGGGAGGGGAATCCGGGCTGGGCCTGATGTGTAAAGGGTGAATTACAGTAAAAATCCAGTTGCAGCTCCAGGCTGGAGGTTGGGGTGGGGAAGGTAGAATCCAGTCTGAGGGTTGGGTGGGAGGGGATCAGTTGCCAAAGGGCTGGAATGGTTCAGAGGAAGGTGTACAATTGGGAGGGAAGGCCAGGGGGTGCGGACGCTGACCTTGCGCAGAAGCAGCCCATGGGAAATGTTCTCAGCCAGCATGAAGGCTGACACCAGGTGGTGAATGGGCCCAGCCTCCCCGCAGTGTGGCCTCAGCACAAACGTGTGGAAGCCCCTCTGCCTGGGGGACATGAAGACAGTGTCAGCTCCTGAGCCTGGCATCACCTGGGCTCACCGGGGCTCCTGAACCCCCAACCCAGCACACATATGTCCTCCAGCCAATAGCTGCATGCCTGGGATGAGAGGGACAGGGGTAGGTTACTGGCTGTGAGAGCTGAGAGATGTAGCTCCAGGGGCAGACAAAGAACCATCCGGTCCAGGCAGCAGGAGGGTCAGAGGTCTGGTGGCCCCGGCCCAGGTGCCAAGAGTGAGGCTTGTGGGGCAAGAGACTGCATGGCAAGCAGACACGGTGGTGCAGGCACCTGCGCAGGTGGTTCAACATGGCCATGTTGGCAAAGGTGTAGTACAGGTAGTAGGAGTAGGGTGGGTTGTCCTCCTCCACCCAGGCCTCGGGCAGGGGGCTTTCCAGGTTGAAGACATGGTTCTCAGGCTTAGACTCATCATCCACGCTGTCAAAACCATCCACCTAGCACAGGACCCGGGGGTCAGACCCAGAACTGCAGCTGGGCGTGGGGCCGGCCGTCCTCCCCATACCCAGCCTGTGCTGCTTGCTCACATGCTCCAAGAACAGATGTAATTCTGGGTGGCTGGCAGGGTGCACGGTGGCCTCGAACAGTGGCAGGAAGATGTTCTCCAGCATCTCCTGGAAGTTGGCCAGCTGGCCCTTGGTACGGTACACGTCACTGCAGGCAAGACATAACATGCAGGTATATGCAAGTCAGGGCCAGTGGGAGGAAACCCAGCAGGCCAGTAAGGGTCAGAGCTGAGCCCAAGAGCACAGAGGCTGAACCATACTGGAAAAGCAAGGATACCCAGGTGGGTCAGGCTGGACAGACCATGGGTGGGACTAAGAAGCCCTTCCTCATACTCAGAGGAGTTGGCAGGGACAAGGGAGGCTTAATCATCCCAGGAGGGCAGGAGGCAGGCCCTGACCGTTGAACATGGCCCCACAGTTCTCTTCCCATTCCAAGGGACACTCACAAGAGGCGGGGCACCTGCACCAGCCAGCGCACGTTGGGGGAGTGCACGCGGTGCATGACGGCCCAGCGCGCCAGCTTGTCCCACTCATCCCTCGAGCGCCCATAAATGGAGAGCCGAAGCTCTGCATTCTGGTATTTGCTCTCCTCCAGGTCCGACATCACCTCCTAGACATGAGGTGAGCTGAGTCAGAGCTCTTCAGGGGCCATCTGCCCACCCTCCTAGAATCTCACCCCACAAAAGCCCCCAGATCCTCAGGCTCGAGGCTTGGCAGGGAAGGCTGCCTCCTCACCTTGATGATGTGAGCAAAGTACTTCCCAGATACCCTGTTGTCCGTCTTGATGAAGATCTCTCGGAGAACGGACTCCCCAATAGGGTTGTATTTGGCATTAAACTTGTCAAAGCGATGGAAAGTGTTCCTGTCCTGGGGGACACGGGCAGGCTCAGGTCACCCCTGACTCCTGGTCCCCTGGCTGACTCAGTCCCACAGCCCACAACACTGGCACAGACCGCATGCACATCCAGCGTGTCCACACTCAGGTCGTAGGCCGTGAGGTTCATGCTCTCGAAGACCTCCCGCAGCGTCTGCTCACGGCCCTGCTCCACGTGCACGATCTCCTCCAGGTGCCGCTTCATCGCCCTCTTGATGAAGCGCAGCAGGTGCTTCTGGTTCATGCAGGATGAGGCGTGGATGTGGGTGTCCACCTGGGGTGGAACAGGGCGCTGCTGGTACACCGGAGGCTGGGAAGGTCTGGGGCCCAGGGTAGTGCGATGGGAAGGCACCCTCTGTCCTGGATGCTGCGTGGGGGGCCTGGCCCTTGAAGAGGAGGCTGGGCAAGGGTGTGGGACCAGGACATGGAGAGGACCATGGGCTGAGGGCCCACCTTGCGGATGTTGTAGAAATCTCGGTGTGGCACTTTCTTCTGGGCGGCCAGCTCCTTCATCTCATTGAGTAGCACGTGCATCTGGAACTTGGAGCTCAGGTACTGCAGCCGGCGGTAGCAGAATGACTTTCTGGGCATGAGGAGAACAAGGCAGGGACTTAGGCCCTGAAGGGAGGCACCTGGGGAGGGCCCTGGTAGCAGCTCTTCGGGAGCAAGTGGGAGGGTTAGAAGGGAGCAGGTGGGAGGGTAAGGAGGGAGCAGGTGGGAGGGTAAGGAGGGAGCAGGTGGGAGAGTGAGGAGGGAGCAGGTGGGAGGGTGAGGAGGGAGCAGGTGGGAGGGTGAGGAGGGAGCAGGTGGGAGGGTGAGGAGAGAGGAGGTGGGAGGGTGAGGAGGGAGCAGGTGGGAGAGTGAGGAGGGAGCAGGTGGGAGGGTGAGGAGGGAGCAGGTGGGAGGGTGAGGAGAGAGCAGGTGGGAGGGTGAGGAGGGAGCAGGTGGGAGGGTGAGGAGGGAGCAGGTGGGAGGGTAAGGAGGAGGTGGGAGGGTGAGGAGGGAGGAGGTGGGAGGGTGAGGAGGGAGCAGGTGGGAGGGTGAGGAGAGAGCAGGTGGGAGGGTGAGGAGGGAGCAGGTGGGATGGTGAGGAGGGAGCAGGTGGGAGGGTGAGGAGAGAGGAGGTGGGAGGGTGAGGAGGGAGCAGGTGGGAGGGTGAGGAGGGAGCAGGTGGGAGGGTGAGGAGGGAGCAGGTGGGAGGGTGAGGAGAGAGCAGGTGGGAGGGTGAGGAGGGAGCAGGTGGGAAGGTGAGGAGGGAGCAGGTGGGAGGGTGAGGAGGGAGCAGGTGGGAGGGTGAGGAGGGAGCAGGTGGGAGGGTGAGGAGGGAGCAGGTGGGAGGGTGAGGAGGAGGTGGGAGGGTGAGGAGGGAGCAGGTGGGAGGGTGAGGAGGGAGCAGGTGGGAGGGTGAGGAGGAGGTGGGAGGTGAGGAGGGAGGAGGTGGGAGGGTGAGGAGGGAGCAGGTGGGAGGGTGAGGAGGGAGCAGGTGGGAGGGTGAGGAGGGAGCAGGTGGGATGGTGAGGAGGGAGCAGGTGGGAGGGTGAGGAGGGAGCAGGTGGGAGGGTGAGGAGGGAGCAGGTGGGAGAGTGAGGAGGGAGCAGGTGGGAGGGTGAGGAGGGAGCAGGTGGGAGGGTGAGGAGGGAGCAGGTGGGAGGGTGAGGAGGGAGCAGGTGGGAAGGTGAGGAGGAGCAGGTGGGAGGGTGAGGAGGGAGCAGGTGGGAGGGTGAGGAGAGAGCAGGTGGGAGGGTGAGGAGGGAGCAGGTGGGAAGGTGAGGAGGGAGCAGGTGGGAGGGTGAGGAGGGAGCAGGTGGGAGGGTGAGGAGAGAGGAGGTGGGAGGGTGAGGAGGGAGCAGGTGGGAGAGTGAGGAGGGAGCAGGTGGGAGGGTGAGGAGGGAGCAGGTGGGAGGGTGAGGAGGAGAGCAGGTGGGAGGGTGAGGAGGGAGCAGGTGGGAAGGTGAGGAGGGAGCAGGTGGGAGGGTGAGGAGGGAGCAGGTGGGAGGGTGAGGAGGGAGGAGGTGGGAGGGTAAGGAGGGAGCAGGTGGGAGAGTGAGGAGGGAGCAGGTGGGAGGGTGAGGAGGGAGCAGGTGGGAGGGTGAGGAGAGAGCAGGTGGGAAGGTGAGGAGGGAGCAGGTGGGAGGGTAAGGAGGAGGTGGGAGGGTGAGGAGGGAGCAGGTGGGAGGGTGAGGAGGGAGCAGGTGGGAGGGTGAGGAGGGAGCAGGTGGGATGGTGAGGAGGGAGCAGGTGGGAGGGTGAGGAGAGAGGAGGTGGGAGGGTAAGGAGGGAGCAGGTGGGAGAGTGAGGAGGGAGCAGGTGGGAGGGTGAGGAGGGAGCAGGTGGGAGGGTGAGGAGAGAGCAGGTGGGAGGGTGAGGAGGGAGCAGGTGGGAAGGTGAGGAGGGAGCAGGTGGGAGGGTAAGGAGGAGGTGGGAGGGTGAGGAGGGAGGAGGTGGGAGGGTGAGGAGGGAGCAGGTGGGAGGGTAAGGAGAGAGGAGGTGGGAGGGTAAGGAGGGAGCAGGTAGGAGAGTGAGGAGGGAGCAGGTGGGAGGGTGAGGAGGGAGCAGGTGGGAGGGTGAGGAGGGAGCAGGTGGGAGAGTGAGGAGGGAGCAGGTGGGAGGGTGAGGAGGGAGCAGGTGGGACGGTAAGGAGGGAGGCTGCCAAGAGGGCAGTAGAAGTCTAGGGCTCAGCAACTAGGAAGGGCAGGACACCAGGTGGCAGGAGTCTGGGGCAGAGTTGGGGCTGGAGAATCTGGGCTGGGAGGCGAGCTAAGTGTCTGGGGTGTCAGGGGACTCACATGGGGCCATTGATAATCAGGGCCATGAGCACATTGACGTCAGCCACAAATTCCTGCAGGTCGGGGTATGGCAGCTCCACCTCTAAGCAACTGGCATGGAAGGGAGCTTGGTGAAGAGAGCAAGCCCAGCCCTGTGGCCTCTCCCAGCCAACGCAGCCTCCCGAACTGCATCCCACCAACACACACCAAACCCCTCTTACTGCTCATCGGGTTCCCTGCGGGTGTAGACGTGCACCACACCCCGCACCATGCGCAGACCCAAGCCCAGGTCCCCAGGCATGGTGCTCGGCTCACAGTGCTCGTACGGGTGCTGCTCCAGCGCCGGGGGGTGCACCGGGGCATCTGCAGGGTGAGGATGGAGAGTAAAGTCAGAGCAGGGCTCTTCCAAGCCACCCGCTGCCCAGCCCAAACCCCACAGAGGGTAAGAGCTGCTGAAGACCCAGTAGGTAAGACAGCTGCTGCCCAACCTCCAGCCCTGCACACCAAGAGGCTGGAAGGAGCCTGGGTGTAGGGAGAGGCAGGCGGGGCAGAGGTGCCCAGGCACCAGGCTCAGGAAGCCCAGGAAGCTAGGGCATGTGGGGTAGGGCAGAGATGGGGGGTCCCACCAGCAGACACAGGGGTGTCGGGGCCCTGCTCATAGGTCCGGGTCTCCAGAGGCTTTTCAGCCAGCTGCTGCAGGTAGCGGCGGGTGGTGGGGCAGAAGCTCTGCAGGGACAGGGCCATGTACTTCTCCCGGATGAAGAGCGCCCGCACCACACTCTTGGCTGCATCCAGCAGGTCTGTGAATGGCACCTGGAGATGAGGACATGCGACCACTCTACTTAGTCTCGGACTCAGAGACCTTCTCCCTGAGGCTGTAACCTAGATCCCAAACTATCCCCCACTCCTGCAGACCCCCAGGAACACTCAGGTCACCCCAGTCCAGCATCAAGTGGCTCCAGCCAGCCCCTCTGCCCCTCCAGCTGCCGAAAAGAGAAACACCCTCTCCAGCCCCACGCCCAGGCTGGGGAAGCCCACTAAGACATGGGTGATGGAGACTCAAGGCCCTGCCCCACACTCACCCCACACTTCTCCTCCCCAGAGATGGTGACCCGCTGAAACTCCCGTTCCAGCACCACATCACGCTCCCGCAGGCTCCTGTCACCCTGCCCCTCACCCTGTTCCTTGTAGAGCCTGCAGCGAGGGGTTGAAGGGAGGGGTTTAGAGCCAGCAGAGGGGCTGGCTGCAGCCCCCCATGCCCCCACCCCTGCCCTCCTCACTGTAGGTCCGAGTCACTGTCCGTCTTCAGGAAATCTTGCTTGGCCCGAAGCAGGATGTCTGGCTCCAGCCTAGAGGCGGGAGGGGTGAGAGGTCAGGCAGATCGCGAGGGCCTGCCCTTGCTCCCAGGCCGCAGCACCACGCCAGGTGCTGTGCGCACATGTTGTCACATGTGATTTTCAAAGGCAGAGCTGCAGAACCCTGTGCCGTTCTCACCCACTTTAGAGATGAGAAGGCAGACCCATGAGTGAAGCCACATGACCCAGCCACACCAGCGGCTAGAAGACAGAACAGAACCTAGCAGCCTGACTCCAAAGCCCACTCTATGCTCCCTGTGCAGACCCCCAGGGGAGGGTGGGAGGCACAGGGGCAGAGAAGGGTCTCTGAGAGGGTCTGGACGATGATGGAGGAAGGCTAGGCAGCTGTCTGCCAGGCTCACTTGACATCCTGGCTGATCTGCCGCTCCAGCCGCTGCCGCCGCTCCTCCAGCTGCTCGATGGGGCTCTCCTCGGGGAACTCATACGGGGCGCTACGGAGCTCGCTCTCAGCCAGCGAGCGGCTGAACAGCTCCTGGGGGGAGGGAAGGAAGATCAGTGCGGCTGGCCCTCCGCCCTGGGGCCCTCTCCTACAGAGTCTGGGGATGGGGTGAGGGCAGCAGGACCAGGGGTACCTGGGAGAGGCTGAGGATCAGGAGACAGCCAAGCGTGAGGTGAGGGGACAGCTGAGGTGAGGGGTGTGGGGAGCAGAGGCGGGGCGTGGAGACACGGGGTGAGGGTGTGGGTGGTGCCAGGCGATACCTCGGCGATCTCCTTGCATTTGCCATCCATAGACGTGCGCAGGTCGAGCGGGAAGTGCTTGAGGCAGGGGGCGGGGCCCGGCAGGGATCGGGCAGACTGCAGCGGAGGGGCCCCCAGACCACCCCGAGCCTCTGCAGAGACAGTGATGCCAGGGTCAAATGGTGGAGGGGCAGCCCCTGAAAGCCCAGGGCCCCTGCCCTGCCTAGGCCAACTCCTGAGAGAGCCCAGGGTCGGGAAAGCGGGTATGTGGCTCCCAAAGAGCTCACCCGCCCCTCTCACACAGGGACCCCTCGCCCATTCCAGGCTCGGGGTGGGGATTCTGAGTCTGCCCCTAGAACAAGTAGATTCATTACCTCCCTGAATGAGAACTGAATCCGGGACTAAAGCCTGCTCCCTCAGACCATGAGAATCTCCATGTGACTACCTCCCAGAGGCAGGCGCACCTGTGTACATGTGCACACACATGCACGTACCCACAGACACCCACAGAGACACACACCAGGCTCTCAATAAGGACCAGGTGGCCACACCAAGGACTCCCAGCCTGCAGCTCCCAGAGTAGGCAACCCAGGATCAGACCCAAGCCTGGACTAGCAGATTTTCCACTCAAAGGGGCAGGACCCTGTGCCTGACATTCTAGACAGCACAAGAGAAGCCACAGCCACTGCTCAGCTCTGACCTGGGGACCAGCCCTCAAAGGAAGAGGAGAGGAAGTGGAGGGCCTGGTTGGCAGGGGAACCCTACCTCCTCCCTGGAGGCCTGCCCTCTCCCCCAGGACTCCCGGGCTGCCAAGATGTGGCCTGGCCTGAGCCTGCGCCTCCAAAAGGAACTGCCACAAACAGTCTATGCCACTCAGGCCCCAGGACCTGGGCTGGAGGCCCCATGGAGGGCCCTGGGGAAGGGAGTGTCAGAAGCCAGGGGTATTTCTCCACCAAGGACCAGACTCTTCATCTGTACCACCAGGAGGTTGGCACCCGAGGGCTGTGTCAGAAGCCAGGGGTATTTCTCCACCAAGGACCAGACTCTTCATCTGTACCACCAGGAGGTTGGCACCCGAGGGCTGTGAATCGGGTCTCTGGAGTCTGCCAAGGCTTCCAGCCTACCCCAAAGGACCCTCCCTGGGCTCAGCAGCCCCAGTTTCCCAGTGGGAAGCTTTCCACACCAAACTGGCTCTCTCAGCCACTGTCAGGAGTGCTCCCCTCCAGCACCCTCCACCCCGGCTTAGGGAAGGATTACAGGATCTGACTCTGTAGCCAGCCTTAAAGTCTCTGCGCCCATTTCCCGATACTCCAGGACTGGTCACAAAGCTGGACAAACAGAAGAGGGAGGGGCCTGCCCCAGGTCCAGGACCCCATCCCCTGCGCACCCTGGACCCTGCCTGAACCCTACCTGCAGAGTGCAGGCAGCTCCGGCCAGCAGCCCTGTGCCCCTTGCCCGCCTGTTTGCCAATGAAGCTGCAGCCAGTCCCTCAGGGGCTGGCACAGGCTGTACCAAGTGCAGCTGCAAGCAGGGGAGACCCTGAGATAGCTGTGAGCACGGAGCTAGGGGAGTTCAAGGGGGCCCAGAAACCAAGGGACGGCCCACCAGACTTAGAAGACGAACTCCAGAACCAAAGAGGGCCTTCACCTCTAGCAGTGCCAGGGAGGACCCAGCCAGATGCTAGGCTCCTAAGGGGGTGAAGCAGGGTAGGCTGATTTGGGCAGGCCAGGCTGGCAGGGAGGAGCCAAGCCTCCTTAAAATCCACTGCCCTAGGGGACAGCAAGTGGGCAGGGCCTGGCTGGCCAAAGGGTAAGAGGGGAGAAAAAGGAGAGGAGCAGCTCTCTCCACACCCACAGCCCCAGGTCGGCTTCCCCTGGCAGTGGCCTTGTTGCTCACCACTGTCCTCTGGGCCCTGACTATGGGGTCCCTCAGGAGAGACAGGGTCTCTGCTGGGGAAGGAGCTGGCTGGCAGCTGAGGAAATGGCCCAGTCACTGAGGCTTCCTCGCCACCCAGCTGCTCAGGGGACTGGTTCACAGGCTCCTGGACCTGCAATGCCTGTTCCAAGCTACCATCCGGGATGGGACAAACTGTCCAGGATAAGTTTGGGAGAAAGGGAGCTAGGATGTGGAGGGTGTGGGTCTGATTCTGTTCCTGCCGACAGGCATGTCTCCACCTACCTCTGGGAGGCTTTGTCCTCATCTGCAAGTGAGACACAGTATGTGGTCCCTTCCTGCCTAGCCACAGCTGCCATAAGAGATAATGGCTCTGCAAGCATTCTGCATAACACCAGGCTGTGCTGAGGTGAGGGCCTACAATTACAAACTCCTGGGACCCTCAAATACCTTCTACTTGTCGCCCCACCCATTGAGAACGGTGGAAGGCCCAGTGCAGGGCGAAGGCAAAGGCCAGTAAAGGGCAGTGAACTTGGCACGAGTGGAGATGCGGGTGACTAAAGAGGGGAACTGGCCGGGCGCGGTGGCTCACGCCTGTAATCCCAGCACTTTGGGAGGCCGAGGCGGGTGGATCACGAGGTCAAAAGATCAAGACCATCCTGGTCAACATGGTGAAACCCCGTCTCTACTAAAAATACAAAAAAATTAGCTGGGCATCGTGGCACGTGCCTGTAATCCCAGCTACTCGGGAGGCTGTGGCAGGAGAATTGCCTGAACCCAGGAGGCGGAGGTTGCGGTGAGCCGAGATCGCGCCATTGCACTCCAGCCTGGGTAACAAGAGCGAAACTCCGTCTCAAAAAATAAAAAAAGAAAAGAGGGGAACTTGCCTCACCCCCAGAGCGTAAGATCTTTTCTTGCTCAAGAGCCCTGATTCTACACACCTCCTCCCTACCTATGGCCCCAGACCACTTCTAACTCCATCTAGAGGAGGCTGACCGCAGACCCCCATGGCTGGTTCATACTGGGACACCAGGAGTCGAGTCAAAGGCCCAAATCTCAAGCCTCTCTCCTAGCAGGGGAGGTCTAGGGCTCCACAGCAATCCTGGGCTGAGCAGCACAGATCCCAACAGCCAGCGCCATCCCCGAGCCTGCCAAACCACTCTCCAGGGCTGTTCGGGCTCACTGAAGGTGACACATGGGCAGTAACCTCTATGCTCTCAGAGGCCGGTCCTAGAAGACTCAGCTCCCTACTGGCCCTTTCTCTAGGGGCCAGCACCGCACATTCATGTAGGAATCAAGCAAAAGCCAGAGCAGACCACTCCACAGCCACTCCCACCAACTCCGAGATTCTGAGCACCCCATCTCACCTCCCGACCAGGAGCCCCTCACACACTGCCAGGACTGCCTCAGTAGGCACCGAGGTGTCCACGGTTTTGACCCACAAGTATCAGATGCTCTTACCATCTCACCACCAAAGGGTCTCTGGTTCTTGGCTAGATCTATACCAGTTGTCCTACTGCTGACCCAAACAGGGCCAGGGAGGGACCCACCCAGAGGACACCCTTTCTGGATGGCACAGACCTCCGGACACTGCAGACCTTGCACCAGGCATCTTCAGTGAAACAATAGGGGATGTAGATAATCGGGCTGTAGCTACAGACTGCTGCAGGGGTGGGAGCAGTAAGCACGATCTGGTCATCAAAGTCAGGGTGGGTCCTTTCTTAGCCACAAGGCCTGGGGGCAGACAGCAGGCAGACATTCCTCTGCAAGCGCACAGCCAGGCAGCTAAGCCCTCACTAAGACAGACACTGCCGCACCACGTTGCCTGCTCCAATGGTGCAGAGATGCTTACTAGAGTGAGAGACGAACCAAAGGGTGCAGGAGCACACGCAGTGCAGGCAGCTGCCCCAGACTGAACCCTGCACAGACCTGACGAAGGACACCCCATGCTCCTAAGGAGGCTCAAAACATAGACCAGGAATGAGCAAATAGCAAACAACAGATACAGTCAAGCCCCCAGCTGTGGGATGCCAGCCAGCAATGGTTGTGCCCAGATGTCAGACCCCCAGTGAAAGGGATCTAGATGTGGGGTGCTGGAAAGAGGAGCTAGCCACAGGAGAACAGCCTGAGCCCGCCGGTAAAGGCACAGGCGCCAGTCAGAGCGGCCAGTCCGCAAAGCAGTCAGTCCCACACCCCCCCACTCCATTCACACACGCTTCGCACGCAGTCGTAGCACATGTACACGCTGACACGTGCATACACACCTCTTGCTGCATCCACACCATGCCCACTGCTCTGACAGGACAGCATCCCTGGCACAGACATCTCAGATCCACCCCCCCACCTCCCTACCCCACCTTCCAAGCCAGCCGGCCCTGGAACTGAGGTTGAGGGGCACCACTGCAGAAGGATGCCGGAGGAGGTGGCCCCCCTCTGAGGGACCAGCCGCTTGGGCGAGAGGTGGCGGGACAGAGCCTAGCATCTATCCTGAGGCCAGGAAGCACACTCACCTGGAGCTGCAGTGGAGGCCTGCGGGCTGGCCCGCTTCTTAAAGGGATATTTGGCCTTGGGCTTGCCAGAGCCAGATGGATAGGATGCCATGGCTGGGACCACGGCGGCGACAGCGGGGGAGTCTGAGCGGCACCGGTTGGGGCCTGGCTCTGCCACATCCAACCCCTTCCTCCGCCCCGCCCCCAGCGGGAGTGACTGATGCAGGAAGCAGCGGCTCCGCAGGCGGAAGAGGCCTTGGCCACGATTTCTCCTGTTGTCTAGGCAACCTCGGGAAGTGGGGCCTCTATCTCTGCCCCTTATTCCTCCCCTCCCTCCTCAGTCCCTGGAGTGACGTGACTGATGATGTCTGGGCCTGGCAGGGGGCGGGGGAGTGGGTGGGCAGAAAACAAGACGGGGAAGGGCCAGCCCCCAGATCTCCACTAAGTCCCCAAGAGCCCTCACCCCATCATGCCAGGGCTCCAGGGCAAACAAGCCAAAGTCCAGGCTAGCTGGTCCTTCCAAAAAGAATAACAAACAGGAATTCAGCCGCGAGCGAGCCCAAGCTCAAATACAGTCCTCCCGGGGCAGGGCAGGCTTACATACTCCGTGAAAACCCAGCACCCCTTTTCCTTCCCCATCTGACCCTCAGCTTCAGGGGCAGCCCAGCTCTGGGAGGAGGGGAAAGAACCGAGAATCCCAGCCCAGGAGGGAGGAGCTCGTGCTGGGAAAATTCCACCGTCGCCAAAAAGGTGCCTCCTAGGAAGGCCAGGAGACTCCCTTATCTGGGGGTCTGGGACAGAGACCCCAGCCTCTTCGGATTTTTCCTCTGTCTCTGCACACTCTGACTCTGCTCCCCAGGCCCTCCTAGGAGGACCTGACCGCCTTCCCTAGGTACTGCAGGCTGCGCTGGGACTCCCACTCTCTTGGCACCCTGGTCACAGCACTTCTCTGTCCCAGAGACCCTCCCTCCAAAACCCGCACACACACTCACCTGAGGCCATGCTGCCTGAGTCCCGAGGGGAGGCTGCCCACGAGGGTCTGCACAGCAGAAATCCTGGGTCCTGAGGGAGGGCAGGGGGGTCGGGGCCCAGACCCCGGCCAAGTCGTTCCAAGGGCCCTCGCCCGGGCACTGAGATGGGGGAAGTAAGGTAGTCTTTCAAAATTGTCAGCTGGCCGGAGGCGGACTCCCGCAGACCTCGGCAGCCGGACTGGCCTCAAGGCGACCCCGGCGTCGCGACCACCCAACCCCGCAATCGAGAGGCAAGTGGGCCACGTGCTCCCAAGAGAGCGGGACCCGGAACTCGTCCACGTTTCTCTCAACACTCCCTAGGCATTTACGGTCGGACTTCTGCGGCCGGACTATGGGGGAATCACGCAACAGGTGCGACCCTACCAAAATCTCGCCGGCTACGCGCCGGGCTCTGCGGCCCTTGGCCCCGCCCACTCCTGGCCCCGCCCACGCCTGGCGACCCCGCCCCGCCATTTTTTCTCTTCCTGGGCGCCACGTGGGCAGCCACCACACCGCGGTAGGGCTGGCCTGAGCCGACCATGGGTCTTGGGCCAGTTCTGTGCGTCAGCTTCCTCATCAGTAAGATGGAGTAATGACCCTACCTCACTCTAAGGGGTTACTGTGAAGATTACACAGTGTCTCGCATGAAGTCAGGGCCCAGTGAAAGGTAGCTGTTATTATTGTCCCAGGATTCATTTTAAGCAGAAGTCCTGCCCCTGCAATCTCACCTGGTCGTCTGTTTTCCGGTCGGTGTAGGCAGGCAGGATGTGTCCTGCAATTTTAGCTCCCCTTTCCACATTTCTGTATTTGGTGGTTAAGAACTTTAACTCTAGCCAGAATGTTCAGGTTCAAATCCAGACTCCACCTACTTCCTGACTGACACTGGGCAAGTTACCTAACTTCTCTGTGCTTCTATTTCGTCTGTAGCTGCTTTATGTGGTGGTTACGATAAATGAGTTAAATAACTGCTTAGACCTGTACCTGGCCTGCAGTGAGTACTCAATATTCACGGATCGTCATTGCTTTAGTCTTGGCCTTGGTTCTCTCCTGGCACTCACGGGGTGATTCATTTGCAGCCCTTCTGGAATCTGCAGACATCCTGTTCAACAAGCATCCCCACTGCCAAGGGTCAGAGAATCCGACTTCAAGGGAACTTGTGGAGGGAAGTCCCTAAAACTTCACTGACTGCAGTTAAATGCATTAGCAGCAATTAATCTCTTTCCTATTCTCCCTCTTGTGGGAGGCCTTTAACCCCCAGTACCTTGTTGTTCTAATGCTGTTTGTCTGGCTCCTCCCAGTTCTCGCCACCCCCAGGGAAGAGTTCCTTCCCAAACTCTGCCTCTCTCTTCTCTCCCCACGCTGGATTCTGGACCCTGAACCCTGAACCCTGTTTTCCACCTGCATCTGATGTCACTGTCACTGATTCCTGTCTGCTGTTCCCTGAACAAACTTTAAAACCTTGGCCTCTTCACCTCACACAGAATCTATAAAACTAAAAAGAGAACAAAGAGATACCATGTTTATTTATCAAAAAAGCATAGACTAGAAAACAAAACAAAACAGAAAACAAACCCTTATGCAGGTGGCAAGGGTATGGTTAGTGAGATGGGCGACGCACACGGACATGTGCACACACACATTACTGGTGGCTTTAAGCACGGATAGAATCTGAAAGACATCTGATAATATATAATCAAAAGTTTCAAAAAGGTTCTTATTATTTGACTCAGTAATCAACTTTCTGGAAGTTGTTTTTCTAAACAGAGCTGCCAGAAAAATATGTATGCAAAAAGTTGCTCAGCACCACCTTGTGTATTGCCTAGAAAAGTCAGACGTTTTTACGACAACAATAGGGGAATGTTTATGTAATATTCACACCATGAAATACAGCCATTAAAAATTGTTCTTGGAGAAATGTTTAATGCTGCGGAAATATTTACAATATAAAGTCAGGTAAAAGAATGGATACAAAACACTATATGCAGGATGGTCCTACTTATGTGATATGCATGGGTAGAAAAGAAACACACCAACAAGTTTACAAATGATTATCTGTAGTGATGGAATTATGGGTTATATTTATTTTCTTTATATTTATTTGCATTTTAAAAATTATCTATAATACATACCCATAACTTTTAAAATTAAGGCAATAGAAATCAACAAAAATCTGTAAAAATCTGCAATTGCCTCCATAGT